GTGTTATTGACTGGCGCATGAGAGTAATCTGAAGTGGCGATGTTACCGTGGCATTTTCGGCACTGGTGCCAACAAAGACTTTATTGCAACACCGGGAGAATTATAATTGTATATTCTTCCTGTATATTTATATATTCTGGCTCTCTCTGTTGAACAGTTTGTCAAGCATTTGGGCACTCAAGTTTCTATCAAAAGCCTATGCAGAATCAGAACTTGCACATGTTCTTTATATGCTCAAACACTATCATTTTTTTGTATATTCCAACATTTTATGACTAGACATGCTGACGGCACACTCAAGTTATATTAACTTATCTTGTGCCACCACCAATACAGAGGACACATACAGGACAAGACAATACTCATTTTTACTTAAGTGAGAAAATTAAAGTCGTAAAAAGTGTCTTTCCCAATGGCCCAAGATCGGTGGCATGGCAGGACTCGAACCCGGGACCTTGGTTCAGAGTCGAGCCGTTACGCCACAGGACCCCACGACTATCATTTATAAACCCAGACTGCCGAATACTCATCCCGGACCCTGCCGCACACAGGGCAACACTGAAGGAGCTAAATAGCGGGCGTGACGACAATATTAGCCGACCACTCCGGGCACACATCCGACCCCGCACGACTGTTGACTCTTCACATCGGCAGCAGGACGGGCGATTGCGTCAAGCCGCTTCCTCCAAACCGTACCGGAAGAGTTGAGTACCGAAGGGCCATATCAATCAACTAAACTAAACTAAACTAAACTAAACTAAACTAAACTAAACTAAACTAAACTAAACTAAACTAAACTAAACTAAACTAAACTAATCAGAATAGTCATTCTCTATCTGTGCAATGTGTTCAAGGCTGGCAAAACAAGCTTAACGTGTTTCCAAATTGAATGTTCATTGATAAAGTTGTGCCGAACATGGAAATATTAAATGCTAGCTTTTTGCTATAACAAACAGATCCGCTTAGTAAAAGTCGAACTTTATTCCAACACACAATTTAGAGAGAGATCAAATTTTCAACGTTTTACTATGATTACTACCAGCACAGGTGAACTTTCATGATAAACAGATCCGCTGATGTGCCTGCTGTATAGCCCGGCGTGTGCGGATCAGTACTAACCGTGTTAGCGGCTTCAGGTCGGCTGTGGGGAGACTCGCCGCTGACGTCACCTCCGTCAGCATCACCATGGCAACCAACAGGGCGTTGGCGGCAAAGTGCAGATGGTGAAACCTGTCAGGAACATTGACATGTTCGTCAGTTTGTTTTTTAAATGACGATTTACCACATTTGTGTAAGGATTGACATAACAGGTGACTATCACCTCTTCAAAGATGTCAAACCTGAAACCAGACTGTAAGGTTTGAACCACTCACACCGGGAAGGTCCCCTACTCTTTTCGATAAGTGTGATGGGTTCTTTAACGTGCGTGGGTTGTGGCTCTCCAAACACGGGACCTCCATTTAACGTTCTGTCCGAGGCACGTCCAGAACCGAAGCTAGTCGTACTCATTTACACCTGAGTGAGGTGAGTCGTGTAAAGTGCCTTTCCCAAGGGACACAAGGTCGGTGGCATCGGGCAGGATTCGAACCCTCGCCCTCTCGAGGCTGGGCCGAAGACGCTACCGCTACTCCACACGACCTCACAAGTTCAGTCAGTGAAGGTTAGACATCCAGGTAACAAGATACGCCAAAAACAGTTACTCAAACAACCGGATATGATTTTGGAAACGGTCAGACATTTCAGGTAGAATCCACTACCTTTCGTCAGTGACACTGGAGAGTTGTCAGAAAAGCAGGTTTATAAGCACAAAGTATTGATTGATATGCAAATCAGTGAAGATTTCTCTTGAGTAATTGTTTTTGGCGTATTGAAATGTACATTTTGTATAGAAAAATCTTAAATCGGCGCCTCTCTGCCCAGTTTGTTTTCAGTACATACAAAGCTATGCCTGTGGGATGCATTGCATGACAAGCAAGTTCTAATAAATATACTCACTGCAGATGTAGTAGCTGTAGTTGCTTGCAGGACATGCACAATGTATGTGCAAATATGTCCTACCGTGGACACGAAGGCAAACGGAGCTAAAATGAGATTAAGTAATACACAAACATCTCTGGTAGCGCTGCGGCACATGATTATGTCAACAAGTTCTGTCAAACGTAAAGCAGCAGGCACGATTGATGGTATTTGTAGGGAAATTTGACGACCAATATTTACTGCATGATATGATTAATATACTCTAAAACGCAAAGCCCAGTTTCCTGCACTCCTTTCCTGTTTACATTATTGTACGTCTGTTAGCTCACGGCAGAAGGACAAGCTGGTACGAAAACACGTCGCTAGTCTATATCTAAGCTGGGCATGTTTGAGTAATCTCCAAGCAGATCATAGAAGAACTTTTATTTATTTCAGGACGATTGCACATGGTACAATGTATGGCAAACTACATAAAGAGAGTAACAACAATAAAATAAATGTTGGATAAGACCTAATGTCGAATAAAACCTAACATATCTTAATTACTTAAACAGTAAGGGCTAGCACAAGTCTGTGATAAAGTGTTACAATCGAGTGGGCTAATCAGAAGTTTCGGTATTTTTTCTAATAACGAAGCATACGGTATCCATTAGGCAGATGAGTGCCCGCTAGCCACAACCTTCGGTGGCTGTGCAAACTCCTCCGGCTAATGGATACTGTCTTGCCACCGAAAGGGATCTGCTTGGAGATTATGTTTGAGTAGCTTTCCCACTTCTCTTTCTGCCTTGCTGGTGTATGACACAATGTACCTGACACAACTGTTCGCATCGAAAATAAACTGGATGTCGATGTTGCCGTTCCAAGCCTACATTTTCTGACATCTTCTGAGGGCTTGGAATGACAACATGGACATCCAGTACATCTCGATGTAATTGTTCACACACATGCCCTTTGGCTCGCGCCAGAAACACTGTTGATGCCCAGGAGTTCCCTGTGTGTATATATATTGAGACTGATAGTGTTCGTAACGGTTGCTTTCTACAACTCATCAGCCAGAGTAAAGCATCTTCTACCAGCTGCTCAAGCCAGCCTGCCGTAGTAAGCTTGTTAGAACCATACAGCCGTTTCACTGGCCCGGGTTTTACCAACATAGTCCCAAAATGTTCCCTCTCTTGCCGGCTAACTCCCCTGGTATACCATTCCCTCTATTTTGGACGATTTTGTACTATTTTTCAAGCGATCTGCGCGGTGCCTGGTAGAGGCTAATGATGTCATGAGAAACACTCAGCCGTTTCAATGTCCCGGGTTTTACCGACATAGTCCACTTCTTCTACTGTTTCTCAGCGAATGACAAACCATAATAACATTTGTCCAGAAGTCTAAACCGGTTAGCAGATGGAAATCTCCGGGGAAATTTGCAGAAAACGTTCCGAGCGCGGCAGACAGCTGCCGATGTGAGCCCATCGGCGGGACCAGCAACAGTCGGGCCTTCGTTCTGATTACGTTAGGCCACACCGACTATATTTTATGGATGACATGCGCTGAAGATCCCCAAACTAGTGTGCGCGGGCGAATTAAAAAAGTCCGGCCAAAAATAAACTCCAGGAATATAAAGCTGGTATTGTGAATTAGCGGCAGTACGCAGCGAGGTATACGACAAGCCGGTACATGCTGGCTTTTTGTGAAATTTATGAATCGACACTGTGCGTATGTCCTGAGGTCTTGAAGTCGTGGAGCTTCGGTAGCCTGGGTGCCCGGCTCCGTATTGTCGCTAACTACCATGGACTACCCAGGCCTAGAGCCCTCATCGAGCCTCGGTGGACGCGATCTTTTTTATTTTTAGAACAGGCGAAAATCAATGTGCGCTTGGATGTCATCAATAAAATTAAGTCAGTGTGGCGTTATCGAAAATTAATCGTATTTGCGTAAAGCACGGATCGTTTTACTAATCTTGTTTATCGTCGATGTTATCGTCGCCGTTAGGAGAAAAACCAGAAGGCCTCGTGATCTTTTGTCAGACCCGAATAACCCGCCAGTGTAAAGCGTGTGGAAAAGAAAAAGGAACAACTCATAAGAACTTGGCTGAATTTGTCAAGGGGATATCATTATTTTGTAACCATTTTTCTTCTGAACTTGATTTTTCTTAAAATGGTATAACAGGACAGGGTAAAATCCATTCATGCAATCTGTAAGTTGAACTCATTCAAACTATCGTTGCGCTGATATCAACCTTATTCTTCCCAAGACAACATCATGTAGTACTGAGAATGGTGTACGCTGTAGCAATATCCTGCCAAAGTCGTCATCTGGACAAATTTGATGCCGGAGAGGAACAACAGAAAGTTGAAGGATGTAGTTTTCGCCGATGAAGGTTAGATATCCATTCAATGAAATACGCCAAAATGCAGGTACTCAAGCAACTGGATATGATTTTGGAAACGGTCAAACGTTTCAGCTAGTATCCACTAGCTTTGGTCAGTGACTGAGAGACCAGAGAAGACCCCGCATTTCTCCTCTGGTCTCTCAGTCACTGACGAAAGGTAGTGGATACTACCTGAAACGTCTGACCGTTTCCAAAATCATATCCGGTTGTTTTGGGCGTAAATAGTTTTCGCACTTACCGTGTCATGGGTGGCGGTGTGGGGTCTGTGCGGCTCGGCTGCAAACGGCTTCGGTATCTTCTGCTTAAGTCCTTTTCTCTCTCTGTCTCTCTCAACGTCTCTCTGTTCTCTGTCAGTCTTCGGTTGTCCCCGTGTTCCCCGTGCGTGTCGCGCCTCGGGAGGTCTGTCCTCCGGCCGGTGGAACTCTCCTTTTATACCAACTCAGCCTTACATGGGACTTACGTCACGAAAGGAGGCGGAACAATTCCCAAGGGCCGGGTGACGTGGGGACCTTATTTGCATATTGTGACGATGTTCCTGTTGAGTATGTGTGTGTGGGTGGGGGGTGTCCAGTCTAACTGTCTGATGATCTTTGTGATCGCCACTCTCCGCGTCATCATGGGTATTTTGTTTTGATTGTTCTCGTTTTTTTTTAATTGATTAAGAACTAAGCACAGGTCACATGTTTACAATTACGTTTGTACATTGCAAACAACTGATACTTTCAAACTAAATGCTAATTATACAAAGGAAATTACCAATTAAAAGATGAATCAGCAACGAATGTACAAAGAGTGACGCAAGGTATTTACAAACACCATAGATTACCTTGAAGCTTTTCATGAACATGTAGAAGAAAAGTACCAAATACACAGAATATGCATATTTCATATTTTATCTCATTACGAGGAACGTAGATGTTTATAGAAGTCATGATGTAAAGAGAGGTCACGCTATATTTCCAGCAACGTGTGTTGATTACAATTGTCTTTATTAATCAGTTACCTGTTATTCGTCACAAATAACTGTTGCAATCGTTTTATAGTGGTGGCTATCAGATATTGAGTAATTGATAATTCTGAACTATATAATAATAACCTCACTGGCGTTATGAGACAGAACAGTACTCCATCGCTGCCTGTGTAATTATAAAATACATACGAGCACTAGTTCATTTCGAACTTTCAGTTGAACAAGTAGCCTATACGGCTTTTTTTATCCAGTCCACATCATTGATTATAAAGCTGTAAAATCACTTGATGTCAAAAGACAGAGCAACATTCCCTGTCTGCCTAACTGTGTAAGAGCACTAGTTCATTTCATACTTTTCAGTTCGACAAGGGGCCTAGTTTTATCCAGTCCATATATATTTTGCAAATACTTGATATCCTCACCTCACCGGTCCCATAGCAGTCTGTCCTGCCGTCGGGGCAACTAAACTGTCCACAAGAGTTATCCACCCAGGGCGGTTGTAGACTACATTTGTAGACTACAAAAAATGCTTTGATAGGATATGGCAAGATGGACTGTGGGCAGTAATGCGTCGCTTCAACATCAGCCGGGGAATCATCAACTCAATCGAAGCATTATACAAGGGGTCACAAAGCACAGTGATGACAGGTGACGAGTTCAGCGAGTGTTTCCCTACCTCAGTGGGAGTCCGTCAGGGCTGTCTCTTGTCACCAACACTTTGTAACATCTTCTTGGAGAACATCATGAGAGAGGCTCTGTCACCTCTGGAGTCTGATATAAAGCTTTAAAATCACTTGATGTCAAGGACAGACTGTCTGCCCGTCCATGTAAGAGCACTAGTTCATTTCGTGCTTTTCAATTCCTATACGACCACATTATTGATTATAAGGCGGTAAAATCTCCAGTGCTGACGTCCCTCAGCGGGGGTTCTGTTGCCAGTTATGTACGCCAAAAACAGTTACTCAAACAACTGGATATGATTTTGGAAACGGTCAGATGTTCCAGGTAGCATTCACTACCTTTTAGATGTCAGAATACAGGTTTATAAGCAGGGACAATGTATTGATAGGTGAATTAGTAAAAACAAATTTTTGAAGGTCCAAGAGGAAACATCTTTGACAACACTCCAGTGTCACTGACGAATCAAATTGATATCCAATTGCTTAACTCTTTTTGGCGTATCTTATTACCTGGATGTCTAACCTTCACCGACGTATATACCTGCACGGCCTAGTTTTTATCCAGTCCACATCATTGATTGTAAAGCGCTAAAATCTCCTGTGCTGACGTCTCTCGGCGCGAGATCTGTTACCAGTTATCCTCACAGCGCGGTTTGCCGGCCGGATTTGTGCGGATTTGTGGCTCGTTACTACATGAAGGAACATGTATAGAACTGACGCACGGTTTCTGGATCTTGTTCAGCTTTAAGGTGTGTAAATAGGCATTAAAACAGCGGCCCCTATCTTACACGAATCTAGTCTGTGTGATACACGTATTGTAGGACTTACACATAATTGACATCCCAGATCACCTGTACTGACTTGAGTAAAATGTACGGAACTGACGCACAATTTCTCCGGAATGGATCTAGTTCAGCTTTAAGGCGTGTGTAAATAGGGATTAAAGACACCTTTCTTGAAGTAGACAGCTGCCCTAGTCTTATGTGAACCGAGTCTGTTTGATACACGTACGCGTATTGTAGGACTTACACATAATTGACTGTAAATATATTAAGGCGTCCCAAATCACCTGTGCTGACTTGAGTTCTGCTATATTTGTCAGGTTTTTAGCAGGGTGGGATTTTGGGTTGGTAGATCCGGATATGCGCAGATTTGCTGAAATGATGATGTAGAAATCCGGCTTGCCCAGGCTTTGGGTCGTGTAGACGGGGATTGGAGACAGGTTATCCAAATTGCCTTCCCAATCACGCACTCACCTTAAACATACCAGCTAGTTTGGGAGGCGGTTGGAAAGAGCAGAATCCGGCCAAATAGAGAGATAACATGCCGGGGGAGTTGTGGTGCTGCAAAATGTACTCTGTAGCGGACCAACTCCCCCGGCTGCCCCAGGCTTTGGGTCGTGTAGACGCAGATTGTAGACAGTTGATACAAATTGCTTTCCCGCTCTTGGATGGGACTAGGTAAATGTAAAGGCCTTCTCACATTTTTTCGATCCATTTTTTAATCAAGTGGTGAATGCTCAAATAATATAATTCTAACTTACATCAACATGGTTGGAAAGAAGACAAGTTGCACAACAATCTCTCGTTGAAACCATTGTCATGATGGATTCCAGTGCTCATGAATATTAAGCAAAGCAAATGCATATTTTAGTCATTTTTTTATACATCAAATTTAAACACACCCGCTCCACAGTACACCTTCATAATTTTAGACCCCTTTAAATGCTAAGGCTATTTCCAAACCGGGGCCGGGCCGGGCTGTTTTGATTAGCGAAAAATCAACAGCTTTTATCAATAATATACACAAATAGTTCCCATTATGGATTTTGTCAACTTATTTGTGCTTTGTTGTCTTTTATATAATACTTTTCGTTCCAAACGACTGCCCGGCTGGGCCCCGGTTTGGAACTGTGACCTCACCATTAAGAAGTGTTATTCTACTGTAGCTTCAAACACAGGTTAGGACGCACACTGACATAGCGTGGACAGATTAGCATGCTGGAATTATTGCAATGGACTGTAATGGGTGATAACATTCTCGTGGCACATAGTATTAAGCCTCCTGTAAGTGATCCAGTTCTCCGGGTCACTGAATAAAGCACTGAGCTGAGCAGATCGCAATTTTATGTTTATGTATTATGACCACACAATAGAAAAACTATGTGAATTCATATCCAGTTGCGCTAAAAAGGGAGAAGGAAGATCTAGATGAGAATGTATTCTCTAGTAGTTCATTTGCCTTTTACGTTACTTATTTACCATCATATCCTATGTATTATGCTACTCAGTATGATGTACGTGTATCATCATACTTAGGTGTATGCATTTATTAGTCCCATGGGCATGAATATGCAAATAAAGATTCATTATGATATCGTTTGCTCAGTGTAAGAGCAAAAGGGTACCTGAGGGCACTGAACTGAGCTGATGGGAGGTGTGTGTTAGGAGATGGCGGCGAACGGTGTATTTGAAGGCCTGTTGTGTGTATTCACTGGTGAAGTATTCAAATGTTGTTATCCATATCTTGCCTTCATCTTGAAAACATACTTCCTTCCGACCCACTCAACGTAAACGACGCCACATTATGTACTTTACTTCTTACAGGTAGCCCTTCCCTCCCCTACCAACTGCCGTATCTTTGATATTGTGTTTAACTATATCCACCACTCTGGAAGATTTGACCAATCTCAATAATGTCATGCTAGGTATTGGTGCGCCAGCCACTTTCATTTTATGCTAATGCTATACTTTATGTTATCTTTATGTTTACATTTGTATTATGTTTTATGAGCAGCGGATTTACATAAGCACAACAAGTGCTTCCTATCCAATGCTCAAAAATCCATGTGAATAAAATAAAAATAAGTATTCACCAGAGCCTAGTTGTAGGCTCAAAACCCATTATTGTGGAAACAGAATTGATACGCCAAAAAGCAGATATGATTTTGGAAACGGTCAAACGTCTGACTGTTTCCAAAATCATATCCAGTGGCTTCAGTAAAGCATTTTGGCGTATCGTATTACCTGGATGTCTAACCTATAACAGAATTGATAGTTCATCGAAGCAATGACGAGACCATGAAAGTAGCAGAGAGAGTTCCCCCCTGATTAGGCCGGTACTCATGCCTGTCCGCATGCTGCCATTTGTCGCCAATTACTTCAATTAGTAACCCCCCCCCCCCCCCCATTTGCCGCCCGTCTCGGTTGGGCCACAGCAAGTAATTTTTATGGATGACATCACGCGCGTATTAATTTTCGCCTGATTTTGGAAAAAAAAACAAGAAATTTTGTTGCCTTCTAACAGTGGTCACCATGTCGAAAATGGGCAAGCCAAGCCGGAAGGTGGATGTCAGATAACTATAAAGAGAGGGGACAAGAAAAGGCTTGATTTAATGTTTTGCTTCTTACTTTGATGCAGTGACATTATGTGATGTTAGCTGTATATGTGATGTTCCCACTGAATCAAAACCATTTGAACAATGATTGTGTCAAAATTTTAAAATGTAGAACCTTGTTTTTTTTCGGCCCGCCTTGTTTTTTTCGCCCGCTTGCATTAGGTTTGGAGTCTGCGGGGGATGCCATCCATAGAATTTACTTGCTGTGGCTTTATCCTTGTAATCAGGCTCAGGATCGATTTTGCAATGACCCGTAATGGATCCGTATCATGGCAGATGGTTTCTCTGCTGAATAAACAGGTACTAAGGACCGACACGGTAATTGGGCTGCTGCAGATTGCTAACCTGACTCAGTCCACGCGCCGCA